ATTGATGCATGATGTAACAGTATGGATGAGCCAGTGATATCAATTATTAGACAATCTGGTCCAGATTTGATTATTCGGACCAATAGATGCGAAACTGCTCAGTGAGGCGTTTACATAAACTATTATTATATTACAAGCTATTATAACATGACGCAGCAAACCCTTTTATTCCAATTTCGGTTTGCACTTGCTCAGACATAGACCAGAATAATGGCATCTATGCAGTTTCAGATAAATCCATATATACTCACATGAAACCAGTAACACTGTGGAATGTCAATGGCATAAATGTTATATGCAGATAAAACAGAACAGACAAAAATAGTCCACATGCATTGTGACTCTTTGTGTTCTCCCAAAAAACCAACCCCATGCAATTGCAGTTGATACGTCGCTATGGTTACAGGGGCGGATACAGCTTTTTGAGAAAGGGGGGGTGTGCGCACTATTGAGAAAAGGAGAGATGCACACTTCATTTTCACCCGAGTTTCAATGGTCATTTAACAAACATTCAGAGCAAGGGGGGTGGGGGGGTGCGCACCCCCCCTCTCTGAATCCACCTATGGGTTACATACAAATGCCATTTCAGTTCTGATAAGAAATACACTGAGTTAAGCATGTTTAGACTATGAACAGTCATCAATGGCTGATATTCTCCACTCAGGCATTGACACGGACTTCAGGCTGACGACGTCTTCAGGGGATGTGCACTGACGTGAAATCAGTAAATTTCCCTGGTACCATGTAACATAGACATTATGAATAGTGTTAGGAATTGGAAACCAAATCCACTATCGATTATGGGAGGACTTGTGGTGAATGATTATCGATTATAATCGAAATATATACATTTTTAATGTAATCACCAATTTTAAGTGTTTTTCCCCAGGTTTTGTCTAACTAATTTTGTCATGCACTGAAATGCATGCATGCAAGAAAGACACTGGAATTGTAATTAAAAAATAAAAGTGATTAAAACATAACAATGCGCATAGCTTTACACTGTTGAGAGCATGTTTGTTCGTGAATATTCATCAAATTTAAAGGTTAGTTTACTTCATTCAAGTGTGCTATACTAATAGACTATCAAACAACAAAATTCTGATTAATCGAAAATATATTTTGTACAGTCGATAATTATTTTTAATCCTTCTTTCGACCGAATTTTGATTATTTTCGATCATCAGAACACCACTAATTATAAAGCCAGCTCTTTATGTTACATACAACAGTGTTTCAGCTGAATGGTCCAGTAACTTTACTTAACCCACTGGCCCTAACAAGTATCAGCTTGTCCAGGTGCATTCATAACAATAAAAACGATATAAATGAAGCTTCTCTAACACCCACACTATTGAGAGTGGCAGCTGTTTGCAACAGGTTACATATAAATGTGAGCTATCAACACACAAACTGTGTACAGATATTTTAGGTGGTGAGATGAAATGGGGTTTAACGTCGTACTTAAGAATATTTCGCTCATATGACGATGTGTATGTGTGGCTGTATACTAGTGGTGGTCCGATTAATTGAAATAATCGAAGATTGGTCGTAGTGACTAAACGACCAAGCAATCGATCATAATTTCTCATAATCGAACACAACCAATTTTGGAACACTTGTTTTCATTAACAATATTTTTCACATGGTTGGTTTTGTCTGTTACATTTTGTAAGCACTACAAGCTCGTTTCAAGTCATGATTGAATTTATCTTAAAGGCTCCAAGAAATTTATGTTCCTAACATACTAGTCATCCTTTAAAGAGGACTACATGTTTTTTTCCTTATTTTTATGTGCATTAACAAATTTCATAAATGACGCTAACCAATTATTTTCGATGATTGATCGGTTGTAACAGTTAAGCCTGAATACCCCACTCAGACACATTATACTGACTCCGAGCCGACCAGTCCTGTTTTACCCATTATTGCCGAGCGCCAGACAGGGACCAACAAGTACAATATTCTAACGTCTTTTGCTATGATACGACCGGGGATCGACCCCCGCAACCTTACGTTCTCCAGGCGGAGGCTCTAACCATTATACCATGGAGGCAGTTACAAATGAGGAATTAGCTTTTATCAATATTCCAGCAATATCATGGCGGGTAACACTAGAAATGGGCTTCACACACTGTACCCATGTAGGGGATCAAACCTGGGTCTTTGGTGTGACGAGTGAACACTTAATCTACTAAGCTACCAAACCACTGCAATATTCGATTCAGGTGATAGCGAATATGAATTGAATTGAAAGTACAGCTACAGTGTTCACGAATGGTGTTTCAAAGTAACAGGACATTGGGTCCTGCAAGTTTCAGATGTCTGTCTGACCCACTGAAAATTCACAGGACCCATAGAATGAAATTAAACACACATTTCAGATTGAATATTTCTTATAATTGGCATTGAAATTATTAACAAACATAAGATTCATAAACAGCAAACAAGTGTCACAGGTCACATATAACAACTTAAGTCAAAGTCATTGTGAAATACAGTCAGACACTGGGGCCGGCGGGTTTTAGACTTCTATCCGACTAGTGGCGAATCTGCCGGATTTGTCAGAGGGTCAGAAGCTATTCGTGAACACTGTAGCTAGAATCACCAAATATGCAACTAAATCATAACAGCCTTAATATGTACTGATACAGACAAATCGTATCTTGTATCCCACTGCTGCCTGACAACCCCTGAGTTCCATTTCCTTCCTCTATGTCCTACAAATAATGTCAACATGGTCATTCAACTTTTGTTTCAGCAAAACATTTTCCTCTGTTGTTATTTGTCCTGAGATGCCAACCCCAAAGTGTTGCAAATAGAAGTTTCAAGGATCAAAATTAGCAATTTGGCCATAAAATTAGAAGTCAACCAATTACTTAAAATCATGATGGATTATGAGAAAGATAATATGACACTAATCGAGAGTGACGCTGTAATTTCACATACCTCCAACAGCAGATATCCAAAATATCAGCATTACATTTCTTATTGTCATCTCCTTTTGGCGAAAATGTATTTAATCGACGAAAATATATGTTTTGGTCTATATATATCTGAATTTTAATGAATTTTCTTAAAATTAAGAAGAATTTCTAGTGCAATCGTACTGGCATAGTTTGAGGCTAAACTTTTTAGCGACTATGATAAAATCATAGAGGTTGGCATCTCTGTTTGTCAATACACATTTGACATCTTCAAAATGTCACCGAATATTGATGTGAGCAAATCCTGTACTCTCCCAACTTGTGTGTCAGTTTCATGGTTGACACTACACAGCAGAAAGTTTGTATTTTGAATGGCTATGTGACGTTATTGATCATGTTTGCACTGCAACATATTCTGGACATTAATAATATTAATGTTTAAGTACATCAGCGTTTGCCATGATGCCTAAAACCTGTGTATTTGACTCCCAAAAACATGTCCATGGCTCCCACAAGACACAAGGAGTCATGATGACTCCTAAATTCTTATTCATGTATAATTAGATGCAGAAAACCTGTTTGACTCCCATGACTCCCTCTCATGACACCAGGTGTCATGATGACTGCTACATTCTTATGCCCAGGGCAAACACTGGTACATCAAGAGATTGGATGACAATGTGTGTCAAGAAAAACTAAACAAAAGATTATAGGTTATGGTGACAAGTAAGTTTACAAATTACCATACTGGTTATGAGGACCAAATCTAACACCACTCCTGACCCAACAGATTTACTAGTACCATGCTTAACGGATAGCATGTCCTGTGTTATTCTGAACACAATATTTATCAATCTTACAATGACAGGGGTACAGTGGCACATGTAAAATCACTTGCCCTAATAATTTTTCCTCTATACCGGCCGATTTTCTTGTTGATTGTTTAAACAAACAACATAATTAACATTGGAAAGTCAACTGGACATTGGTACAGCGTGATATACAAATTTGCTTGCCCGACTGGAAAAAAACACTGGACTCGGGCGTCGGGCAATGGGTTATTTCCACCCCTGCCATGATCATGACTTCAGCAAAACAGAATTCTACTTAAATTACTACTACTAGCTGACATAGTCTGGTTAGTGTGACAATTAGATTTTAAGAAAATAAGTATTGATAGTAGTCCTGTTACGATTCACTTGTGTATTCGGTGACTGTATCCTTTCATGAAATTAATGATGAATTCAATTGAATTGAATATTTACCAGTATTTTTAAGAGACTGTTTTCACTCGGAACTAGTTTGTTTTTTATCTAATATCATATATATATATGAGATATGCAAAATGGAATATATCCATGCAGTAGTGTAATTAGTGTTATTTTGACAAGACCACTTATGGAACTGAATTGTTTGTAATGTATTGCTAATCGAAAATCAGGGTTCCAGATAAGGGCCGTATTGTACAGATTAAATATATGCACGATACGGTAGGAAATAATTTAGAAAACGTAGCAGATACGCACCACAGCAATGGTGTACGGTCTTAGAATCATTTACAGACTGAATTTGTTTGTTTTATTGTTTTTTCCTACCTGTTTACACAAGAGTAGCAATGTTGTGGTGCATATATGAAATGAAACAGAAGCTTAATGATACTCCATTAAATTCCATTCTGTAATCGAAATGTACTCTTTTAAGTTTTTCCAGTACTCCTATATTGAAAGAATAAGGAGTACATACATACTCCTGATGTTGAAAAATTATCTGGAGCCCTGAAAAATATCACTAAAACTTTATGGTCATTGTTTTTGCTTCGTGATGGAGATTAATTAACACCCACTGTCATGCAAAGTATTTGTAGTGTATTAGTTTCCTGCAACATCATCACTCGACAAGTTTGTGCATATAACTTTTAAGGGCCTTTCAGGCCTAAAACGAATTTAGGACATTTTAAGGCTAAAATGTCTAAATTTCAGGATTTTCAAGCCGGTGCAAACCCTGTCAGTGAATCATAACAATAGTGTCTACTCCTAGTTTCGACAGCTTTATCACAAATGTGTAATACTATACCTGCAGCACACTTCATTAGGATCCACCCAAAGTGTCATCTCTATGGGCAACAATGGTTCCTGGAGATTGATCCCAGACTCACAAGCAGCCCTCTCCAAGACTGGATCCACAGGTTCTGCTGGGCTGAATGTTATACATCGATACCCTTGTCCACGGGTTGGCCTTTCCTTATACCAATGGTCCCGGAATCGGTCAATCAACACTGATGACAGGCATTTTGTGAATATTTCCAATTTTCCACTGGGAAGGGACTCACATTTCTGCATTAGTCTTTTCAGAAAGACAACAGCTGCCGCTATTTCCTCTCTCATTGTTCAGTTTATTAATGTCTGCGTCCTCTAGCTCAGACATGCAGACCTCAAAAGTGCACTCACTGGCAACAAACAATTCCCACCAATATCTTCTTGTTGGCCTGGTCGTGTTTGTAAACAAGGAGACTGTTTACAACTTGCTATGACAAGGTCAGTTCGTCTGAACAAAATCCGGTCTTGTATCCTGTCAAACCGGAACGAAAAAATGAGTATAGTGTTATAAAATACAAGGACACATCGGTATTCGGGTAAACTCGACTACAGGTCATGACTCAAATCCAGGAATTAGCTTCACGAAGTAATAGGAAAGTCTGTTCCACGATCGTTCTTATCCCGCCAGAAATAAATTCGACGTGACCCTTGTTAACAGCACAAGGTCGAAAAACAAGTCATGTCCTGTCAAATTCTGACATTAATATCACTAACATGATAGCAAAATGCAACCTATATTCATTAAACAATGTCAACATGTGCAATACATGCATAAGCACTTACCGATTTCTGTGTAATCCTCCAATAAATGCAATATTATTTCGTCTGCAGTGCTTGCCTTGAGAGGAATGTTTTGCTTGCTCGGAAAACTAGCCAATCACAAGCGAGGTCACAAAAGTCCACTGCGCGACATCTATCAAGGGAGGTAACAAATGTCTCAGTTGATGCCACTAAAAATAGCCGCTGTGGGCGCAGTGATGGGCAAGTGATTCATCGCAGTCGATCTAATTAGCAGCTGTTGATAATATGTTATACATGTCTTTTTCGATCCCAGATACGCAGTAGCCAGGATGTTAAAATGAAATGAAAGCAACATTAAACTAAGGTTTTTAATAATCATTGCAAAACGAGGACAGTAAAATGAACTTTACATAATTCACACTGGTAAATAAGCACAGATAGCAAAACATCACAGTATATTTTGGGGGTGCTCTGCTTACCATTTATAGATGCAACGAAGGATTTTAAAGGTCAGCGTGACTGCATCCGTGGTCTAGTGGATAGAGTGTCTGCCCGTAGAGTCGAAGGTCGGGGTTCGATTCCTGTCAGCGTCATGACGTTAAATGACGTTAATGGGTGAAACTCGTTTTCCGCACCGCATTAAAGGGAAATCAAAGTCGTCTAGCCATTGCCGTTTTAAGACTCGTGACACAGAACACGTTCGATTTTTTTTCTGCTTTAGATACAAGGGATATAAACTGACTGAGTTTGGTTTTACGCCGCTTTTAGCAATATTCCAGCAACATCACGGCGGGGGACACCAGAAATGGGCTTCACACATTGTACCCATGTGGGGATTCGAACCCGGGTCTTCGGCGTGACGAGCGGACGCTTTAACCATTAGGCTACCCCACCGCCCCCAAGGGATATAAAGGGTTCCTTTATGTAGATTTTGACGGATACCTCCAAGAAGGTTTGTTTGTTTAAGAGTGTTGTTTTACGTCGCACTCAGCAATATTCCAGCTACACGGGGGCGGTCAGTAAGTAATGGAATGTGAACCAAACAAGCTAGAGATCAACAGCATGAGCATCGATCTACACAATTGGGTGGGTGAGGGTGGGGTGGGGTGGTCCGCACCCCTGCACCCCCCTTCTGGATCCGCCTATGTTACCTAATCGCATTCATTATCTAATCAGAACACCCCGGTCGAAGTGAGTTAGGTTCTTAAAAGCGGGAATATTCCATTTTGCATCGTCCCTTACGTTTTATCTATTGACCAGAGTGAGTGAGCAATATTCCAGCTATATGGCGGCGGTCTCTAAATAATCGAGTCTGGACCAGACAATCCAGTGATCAACAGCATGAACACCGATCTGCGCAATTGGGAACCGATGACATGTGTCAACCAAGCCAGCGAGTCGGACCACCCGATCCCGTTAGTCGCCTCTTACGACAAGCATGGGTTACTGAAGGTTCATTCTCATGATGCTAACCCGGATTCTAACCCGGACGAGATCATTATATTGTCCTCCCCGGCCACGTGGGTACAGATCCATTGCACGTCACCTAATTATTCCAGTTAGTACGCAGTGTTCGTCATTGGTTGTCTGTGGACAATTATAGGTATTGGAAAGTGGGCGTCACCCAGTGTGGGAAATAGCCACTGGCCCGCTAGCCCGTGGCTAGTAAAACTCAAGTCGGGCCATGCAATCTCCACAGTCACTAGCCCAACTGTCTAGTGAATTTTCATGAGGTCATTTTGTAGATATACTCACTCTCTCCGACTTGTTAAGTTACAATACACTTTTAAATCATGCAAGATTACGGCCTGATGAAAATGTTCATCATATACTCATGCCAATGATGGTTGTCACCCCCTTCAATTTTTTTTTAATTGGAGAGGGGTTGTGGGGAATGAGGGTGTGAGGTGGGGGTGGGGTTGGGGTGGGGAGGGGGTGACAACCATTATTGGCATGAGTATATTAGCAGATTAATGATGAAACCTGTGTCATGCCGACAATATTTTACTCTCATCTAGTTTTTAAATCTTTTGCTAAGTTTCTACATTCAAATTTCGGGCTAGTGAATTATTTTGTGGGCTAGTAATTTTCAAGCATAGCTAGCCCGACTGGTTATCAAAATGTGAAAACACTGGCTTCACCACTCAACTCATGTATGTTTAACCATTCCATGTTGTTGCAGTGTTGTGGAGCGGGACTGTTTCCCCTTCACTTGCTGTCTTACATGGGTTATCAATGCCACTATGAACAGTAAGTGTGTCTCTAGCCCAACACTTAGTCTCTCAAAATGTATGATTTTGCTGGAAACAAAGAACTCCGTTTAAATTGGAAAGGAGCCCATGTGAGGTTGGGATATGGGCCTAGAAAATCTAGACTTGCTTCATTGAGGGAGTTTGTATTTCAGTAAGGGTTGGGCATCCTCGATAATCTCCAGGGTATACGTTACAATCACTCTCCACTATACCCTGGATGCATCCACGGCTTGGCCCGATGATTTTATTACCTCCCTTGGCTGGCTTTTTATCCAATCAGGTGTCTACGCTGGAGAAGTTGAGCTAACCAATCACAACTCACTTTCGCTTCTTAAATTATCAAGATGCAGAGGTATTCTGAAAGAGGTAGAAGGAGTTCCTTTGTATATTTTTTTTAAGTTTCAGATCTGTCAATTTTTCTGTATTATTTCCAAACCTTCGCGACTGCGACCGCTATCTTTGTTGACACTGGCAAGTTCGGGACATAACGGCGGCTTAGCTGATTGGCTACTGTGAGAATGCGGAGCCAGCAAAGGGTGGTTATATAATTATCGGGCCAAGCCGTGGATGCATCCAGGGTATAGTGGAGAGTGATCGTAACGTATACCCTGGAGATTATCGAGGATGCGGGTTGGGTGGAACGGGAACGATTATGGTTCAGGGACTGTGATAGTAGTGTTACCAGTGGCGATAGTGTGAGGTGAAGAGTTATTGCATTTATAGAGGGAGGTGCATGTGTGCACACGACTTGTGTGCGCGCGTAAGTGCGTGTGTGCGTGTACTGGTCCACATCTATCCCGGTTTGATAGGCTAGCACACTTTCTGACCAACCCGTGAAGATCCGGGTTAGAATGTGCCTTCAGCAACCCATGCTTGTCGTAAAAGGCGACTAACAGGATCGGGTGGTCAGGTTCACTGACTTGGTTGACACATGTCATCGTATCCCAATTGAGTAGATCTATGCTAATGCTGTTGATCACTGGATCGTCTGGTCCTATCTCGATTATTTACAGACAACCGCCATATAGATGGAATATTGCTGAGTGCGGCCTTAGGCAACCAAACAACCAAGCCAGACTAACAGACCTTGCCCCATGACCTTTTTGCATTATGCAGTGATGCGCAGGTGTGTATACGTGTGCGTGCGTACGCACGTACGTGCAGGCTTATACTTGTCCAGATCTATCCCGGTGTATCAGGTATCCCTCTGTGAGGTGAGGTGAAACTGGGTTTAACGTCGTGCTTGAGAATATTTCGCTCATATGACGACGTGCATGCGTGTGTATGTGTAGGTGCGGCTGCTTGTACTAGCCCAGACTGAAGCTGGTTTTATAGTGCTAGCCCACTGAGATACCACGCCGCAGTGAAGCATGAATACCCCACTCAGACACATTATACTGACTCCGAGCCGACCAGTCCTTGTTGCACCCATTAATGCCGAACGCCAGGCAGGGACCAACAAGTACCATATTTTAACGTCTTTTGGTATGACGCGGTCGGGGATCGAACCCGCGACCTTCCGCTCTCCGGGCGGACGCTCTAACCACTCTAACGCTCTAACGGAGGCGGTATACTGATTCCGAGTCGCCGACCAGATCTTGTTTCTCCGACCCCTTCCGCCGATGACCAGGCGCTGTAACAACAAGCAACAGGCCTACCAAAAAAGGTTTCCCAGGATGCAGAAAAACGCTGAAAAGTCCATATTATTCGTGGAAATAGCAACATAAACATACTACCTCACAACCGAAACAGTAAAAACGGTAACGAAAGACTATGAAACTGCAACACTTTTATATCAGCGAACTTTGACCTCAACTGCGCACGGGCGTTACGCGTTCTATCAAATTTCCAAGCAACCATGAATCGCCTCGCGTAGAAAAAGTATTGAATATCTCGAAATAATTGCTGTCAATCACTTCACACGAATGGAAAGTAAACTAAACAAGTGTGCACACAAGTATGATGATAAATGCCAAATAACACAACAGAAATACTTAAAAAGGGAATGTAAGTTTTGTCCAAGCTGGAAAATGTCAACATGTGGTCGAGACTTCCGCTTCCATGTGCGCATGCGCAAAATCGAAGTTGCATGCTCTTCGTTTTTTTATCCAGTTTTAGCGATTTAAAGTTGCCGTTTTTACCGTTTCGGTAGCGAGGTATTATGTTTATGTTGCTATTTCTACGATTAATGTGGACTATTCAGCATGTTTCTGCACAGTGAGAAAGCTGTTTTGGTAGGCTTGAAGCAAGATAACACTATATATACGTCACCGGTCGTAAGCAGGTAATGACTTAATTATCGCTGATTGATTGATTATTAAAAGTTTACTAGGTGCTCGGGCAACTAGGCCCACTTACACCTGGCCCATCATAAAGGTTTGCTTTGTTTCTAAATCTACCTGGCTATCACGTATTGAATTTTGTTCTGAGCATTCCATCTGAACGCTTTTAAACTCTGAGACTTAATCAGGCTTTTGAATAATTAATAGACAAATCGGTTGAACGCGACAGCTTACCGTCATATAGCATGGTGTAAAACAATGGGACTGCACGGTCTTACCGGTACACCGGTACATGTGTACGCATGCGCCTTTCAAATGATAAGTATTATAATGTTTATTTTTAAAATTTTATTTTTTAATAATAATAGTTTATTACTGTGTCATATGTTACATGTAGTAATACATTTTGGCACTTTACCCTTATACAAACACCTGGCCAGTTCTGGCCTAAATGACACCAGATAAATACATATATGGAAGCAATATATATTTTATCCACTCGTATGAGTATGTTTTCTACTTTTAAAGATATATGATAGCTAGTTTAACTCAATCTGTGATAATATTAAGATTAATCTAGTGGTGTTACTGACCTTCG